GAATACATAATTAATTTCAGCAAAAAAGAATATTTAAGCCTCGGGGTTAGTTTTTACGACTTAAAATTGCTACTTCAATTATTGCAACCAGCAGGAATAATTAACCTCCAAAACAGTTATAAGAACAAAAATTTTCTACCTCATTTGCCTGGTCGATTTTTGACTCTCAATAATGGGTGTGCTCTGGATTTTCCCGCTCATAAAATTTCCCCCCTAAGAGCCAAAAAGTCTTTAATAAGTTTGGAGGAAATATTGGTCGAGCAAAGAAGCAATTTGGGACAAACCGGATTATTGATTATTCTCCTGACCGCTGACTGGGAAGATGAGCAATTACAATTAAAAGAAGTAAGGGTTGAACCTGTGGCTATCAGTTCGGTGTTAAATATTCCCAAATTTGTAAACAAAATAAACGGTTGATGATCGACTAAATTGGTTTCTGATATCCAAAAAGAGGATCCGCTAAAAATAATAAAAAAAGCCGTAGAGAAAAGATTAAATGGTTTAGTAAGAAATTATTTGAGTTCAGAACACGATCTGAATGTAGGAGAAGCCCTTATTTTGTTGTTTATTCATTAAAAGAAGTATAAGTTAAGCCATTCTCCTGTAACCTGAAAAATTACAGACAGTCATTTGTGTATTTTTCCTACTCGGGAGCCGAATAGGCGAGAACATTGCCATGATGTAGCCAATAATTAGGAAATATTTATCATATGATTTATTAATTTTGCTTATAGAAAGAGGAAAAATTAGACGGAGATATTTTGCTGAAAGACTAAAAATAGATAGGAGTATTTTGTTGACTTATAGAAATGGAGGTTTTTAACAACTCAGAAACTATTTCTCAATTCTACACAGCCTATAATGAGACTGCTCCTTGAAGGCTAGTTCCTAACCCTTCTGCTCGGTTTAGGATATTACGAGCAGCATTTATATCTCTGTTTTCTTGGTAATCACACTTGAAGCAACTGAACCTCCTCTGACTTAATTTCAGTTTAGGTTCTCTTAATTCACCACAATTGCTACATATTTGGCTCGTGTTCCTTGCTTCAACTTCGACCACTTTCTTACCAGTTTCTTCCACTTTGTAAGTGAGTATAGTCAAAAATAGATTTCAACCAGCATCATTAATACTTTTGGCTAGATACCTATTTTTCACCATATTCTTTACTTGTAGTTTTTCATGGGCTATTAGGTCATAATTTTTTACTAATTCTCGACTTAATTTATGAGCCAAATCTTTCCTCTGATTAGCCACTTTTTCATGCTTGGCGGCTAATATTTGAACAGCTTTTTTTCTCCGTTTGCTTTTTTTTACTCTCCGGCTGACTTTTCTTCGAGCCTTGGCTAATTCTTTTTCAGCCTCTTGATAAGTTCTAGGAGTTTTCTTTAATTCTCCATTAGAAGTAGCCAAAAAAGAAGTTAAGCCTAAATCAATTCCAACTTTTTTCTTTGTTTTCCTAATCCGTTTTGCTTTTATATTTTCACAAGAAAAGCAGACATAGAGCTTGCCATTTTTGATTATTATTGAACAAGTTTTTATTTTGCCTTCTAATTTTCGGTGATTTTTGATATTAATCTGACCTAAATGAGAAAGAATTAGCTGGCTATGCTTTAAATTAAAACCAGATTGAGGATAGGCGAAACTGTCATATCTCCCAAATGGCTTAAATCTTGGATATCCTGCTTTGCCTGCTTGGGTTTTCAACCTCCGAAAGAAGTTTTGAAAACTCTTATTAACTCGTCGGGCTATATCTTGGAGAACTTGGGAATGAACTTCTTTTAAAAAAGGGTTAGTTTCTTTCTTGCTTGGTAAAGAATTGATTTGCTCGGAGCAAATTATTTTCCCCCTTTTCTTTTTCGTATTTGTCTCTCCTTTCGGCTAGAAAATCATTATAGAGCATTCGACAAGTTTCCAAGGTTTTTTCCAACTGTTCTTTTTGTTCTTGGTTAGGATACAGACGATATTTAAATGATTTAGGCATGATTTTCTTTTGGGAATGCTTTGTTATTTCCTTGGCTTTGAATATATTGCTTAATGGTTTCAATAGAAACTCCCCCAGTGGTAAGTAAGCAAAAACTTTTACTTCAAAAGAACTCTTTTCATAATTGCTTCTTAATCTCTGGATACTCTTTTTTTATCAGTCGTGAGGAAGCAGCCTTGTAAGCATTAATGAACTTGCTTAATTCACTGTTCGGATGGGCTTTGAATAAGCAATGAATATGGTCGGTATCATGACTTCACTCTTGGAGAGAGATACGATAATTAGGGGCAATGTATTCAAAGATTTCTTTAAGTCGGTTAGAGATTGTTTCATTAATCACCTTTTTTCGATATTTAAT